GACATCCATCAGAGCTGTCCAAAGTTGGACAAAATCGAATGTAATGATCATGCACAATAGCTGGTAGCGATAAATCCTGCTGGCACCGGACATCATTGACAAAATGGGCTCCAACTGATCGTTGATCCATAGCCCGCATATCGGAGCAACAAACACGAACGTTGGCCTACAGTTGCGCACAGTAAAATTCAAAATCTACCCAAAATTAGTTTAGCAAATAATTCATGTTTTTCCGCATACAAGCTGTTGGCGAATATGGAATGTCATTCGTGCGCCGATTATACTCCAAAGAATCTCGGAAATTATGAAGCTCGTGAAAAAGTTCCTTTTCCTGGCGACCTATCTTGTGTTCGATGAGTAAAACCAGTATAAAAATGTTTCGAATGATACGATGTGATTGATGTTATTTTGTCATATATTTTCACTGGGAGAATTATTATGACGGCACCAGGCTAACCCCGCCCAATAATGCGAGTTAAAATAGAGTCAAAACTCAGAACCTCTTGATTGCTTAGAAGCAAGCTGATGACGGGTTTGACTTTCTAGCAAATGTCAGTAACAGTTTGCTATTAAAGCAAATGGATGACTGGCAGAAGGAAAAAACAGAATAACCAGTCTGGGACGTGTTGTATCTAGTCATCCCAAAAAATAAAAGAAATTTTGGCCAGTAAAGTGTCAAATTTGTTAAGAATTGCATTTTACTATTGGCAGTAATAACATCTTTTTCAGGTTCCATTATTTTGTGATTAATTGTTCCAGAAATTCGCGTCCTTATATTCACTCAACAGAGTTAGGTTAAAGAGAGCGTTACAAAAATTGTTAACTTACCAAATTGGAAAGTTGGCAAGAGTAACCAATAGGGCATATACTGGTACCACGATTTCTACTGCATAGTCGCGGCTTATTGTTTATAAGCAAAGTATCCAAACCATTAGCGCATTTCAAGCTACTTCCGAAACGGCAGCACATATAAATACCTCTGCGCGTTGACTGGGCACATGAAAAACCGGTCGGGCAACTACAATTTGAATTTATTCTTTAAATTTCCAAATTTCAGTACAAGAAATTAAGCGTTGTACAACTGCACCCGATATATATATATGTGTGTGTGTGTGTGTGTGCGTGTGTGTGTGTGTGTGTGTATGTGTGAGCATCTCAGTAACATCACTAACACGGGATACCCAAACTGATAGCTTGGGCGGACCTGCATTTTTATTTCGGTATCACTAATACAAAAATTTTGATAAGGGACGCTAAATTGGCTAGTTAGATGCTAACTTGGATAACTGGCGTAGATTTTCTATACCCTAAAAATTTTTTACGCTTTACATAAAGAATTAAAATTATTCTTTCTTTTTTTCTCTCTTCTTACGTGTCTAATGAAAATATTAGTTCATTTGAGAATTTCACGTTTCCTCCAAACTGCCGTTTATTCTTTACGAGGAAATCAATCTTACCTCATATCAGCAACGTTCTGGCAATATCGGGTCGAACCAGTTCTATAATTTGTATACGGATTCCAACCGGGTGGACATTCCGGTCGCCAGACTGCAGTTCTTCTCGTTGTCGTTGAAGTGGTAGTAGCTTCAACGCTTTCAATTAGACAGCACACCGATATATTTGGCTGATCTGACGGGGCGCATTCATACTTCGCTGGGCAATTGGTCGGGTAAGAATCGATATTACAGGAGTAAGTTTGGCCTGCAAATTTGAATAATTCAATTCATAGTTCCACGTGGAAGAAGCCGCACAGATGCAAAGCATGATCACTAATGAAAATTGAAAAGTGAGCGCTAGTTGCAGCAGTGAGAGCTACGAAGTGAAGGATGCTTGGCGGGTCTCTTCACAACCAAATATAAACCAATCAAACCACACGAGAAAGGTTGGGAGAGGCATGTTGCTCGTCTTGTCGACACCTGGTAGGCATTGTACATCAGTGGTGCTCGCAGAAAACTACGCGAAAACAAAAGCCATCGCCAAAAAGATGCTGCACACTGCATCAAATAAAAAACTGAAACTAACTCTGGTAGTACATAGTCCAAGTTCAAACGGCCTGGCAAAGCTACACTCGGTGTGTGGGAATATTCTAGTAGTGTCGTTAATTTGGTGTATCCAAAATAACTGTTAGAGTGGTTTTGGTATTCTTGGTATAAGTAAGAAAAAAAAAATTAAAATAACAAAGTGAGATTTTCGTGAATATTCTTCGAGCAGTGCTTGACCCAACTCGTCTAAACGAAGCATAAAAGGAAAATTTGGTACCTTCAATCTGATAGAATGTTTCTCGGCCATCTGCGCACAAAGCCATTGCAGATGGATACCCACAACATACCCAGGTTGCTAATTCTGGTGAAACTTGACAAGTATATCCGCTCTGGAATAAATAAATCGCGCGTCGGAAGTGAAAAATAAAATATTAGTATTCGACTAATAGTACTACTGTCACGAAGATCAACAGCTTGACTTTACCGGTGGAACAGGAAATACCTACACGATTCATTCATTCTTCGTTTCGATGGTAAATTTGTACTGACTCATACCAGAAGTTCAAACCTAAACTAGCTTTTAGGCAGGTAATGACTACCGACGGCCTTGTCAGTGGGCGA